GATGTACAAATGCGCTTTACACAATTGATGTGTGTATGGATTGGGATAACAGTTGTATGAGCCCCAAATAAAATGATTTTTTTAAAAGAAAAAAAAATCTTTAAGGGAGCAGGTAGCCTCATCTTTTTTTCATGGAACATCTTACAGGTTTCAATGACCAACCTTGGGGCTAGCTGTGGTTAGCAGTCCACGCCAATAGCACCACCAGGGTTCCTTTGTCACAACAGCAGGGTCTGCAAAAACAGTTTGAGAGTAAAGATCAATTAATAATTACAGCTAATAACAGCTGGAATGCTCCTTAGAAGCAGGATGGCAAGGCTTTAGCTCCTGTACTTTGGACATTCCAATCAGGAGAGTTCCGTCTCTGGAGAAGAAAATCATGCTAGGTAATGAAGAGGATTAGCTAAAAACAGGAAAACCCTCAACAAGGTGGCCTGGCATAGCAGCTCCAACCATGAGCTCAAATAGAGCCAACAACTGTGAGGGATGTACAGGATCAGTAGCACTGTGAGTACTACTGTTGCACTATACATTGGAAGTGATTTAATAGCAACCAAAAACAGATTTGTTAACTATGTGCCAGCACTGTACTTACTCTGTATTTCCATTTTTCAGATGAACACATTTAAATTCAAAGAGGTAAGTCTCTTCTCAATGCTACACAGAAAATTAGTGGTGGCGCCTGGACTATAATCCAGATCTACCCTCAAAACTTAGCACTCTTAACATAGTACATCATATTAAAATAAAACAAATTCATCCAAAGGTTGATGGCGAGGAGACTCAAGAAAACTTCAGCGGAGGTACTGAAATTTGAGGTCTATCACTCAACGCGCACCGGTCTTCCTTGCAAGTGGACCAGTCATTAAACAAAACCAACACCCCCCTTCACCCACTCCAGAAACTCACTGCCATCCAGCCGATGCCGACTCACTGCGACCCCTTTGTGGGTTTCCGAGACTGTTGACAAGAGTAGAAACCCCAGTCTTTCTCCCACTAAGCGGCTGGCGGTTTCGAACTGCCGACCAAGCGGATCACAGCCCAAAGCGTAACCACTATACCTAGGGAGTCATTCCTAGGGAGACACCCAACCGACGCCCAAAGTTCAAGCAGGGCTTGGGGTTCAGGACGTGAGCTATACAGCCTTCTGCCTCTGGGTAGCCGCCTCCCCAAGCCCAATTTACCAAATCCACCCTTCTTCCTCCGAGAAAGTGTAGGCTCTAGCATCTTCTATGTCCCAAATCCCCTCCTTACCAGACCTTTATAACAGTCAGCGCCGCAAAGACCTCAGCTTCTAATCACAGGCCCAAGCAGGCAGCACTCTTCCTCCCCGGTTTCCACAACCGCCTGGAAATGTCCCGTTGCTCCGGCCAGTTCAAGAGCGCTGTTTTTCGAGGTCGCTGCTATCGGGATGCTTCCGCCATTTCCCTCTCAATATCCGCAAACAAGCCCAAGCCGAGCATTTCTGAAGCACATTGTTGACTTGCACAGCACAGAGGCCGGTGATTTAGTCAGCGGAAGTGCAGGAAACAGGGAAGCGCAGCTGCCGCTCACGTGGTCGGGTACTTCCGGCGTCGTGACATACGCGCCAGGATTTCTCCAAGCGGTCCGCGCGGCGGGTCGGCACCGGCACCCTTGGCGTTGAGGTTATAATGAACCGACTTCTGAGACGTGTCAAGGCTTGTTGTTGACGGCAGTGGGCACGTCCGCAGGGACGGACGCTGCCGTGGGACCCTGCGTGAGCTCGTGTCTCTGTGTTCCGGAGCAAGTGCTCCCCCCGCCCCCCTCCGGAGTTCGAGAAGTGGTTCGCGCTAAGCGAGCGCGGGAGCCTTGAAGGCTGAAGGCGTCCCGGACCTCCCTGGCGCCGCTCCTGTCAGCGCGGCAGCATGGACGTCCAGGAGGACGTGCGCGCTCTGGAGGCCGAGATCGCCGCTCTGAGGCGTGCTTGCGAAGCGCCGACGGCTCCCGGGAGAGAGGCTTGTGGAACCAAGTACGTGACCGCCTTCCTTGAGCCCAGTCCCCAACGAGCTCTGGCCGCCCCTCCCGCTCCGTCCCGCTGACAGCCGTCTCCTAGGCGACCGGCACCCCATTCCCAAGGGACTATTTCCTTTCCCTCTTAATACCTTTCCACACCGTTTCCCGGGTACCCAGTTCAAGCGGGCAATGTGCAGAATGTTACAGGGCGTCTCAAAATATGGTCTTACTTACAAGGTGTTTGTTCTATCATAATAATGGCCAAGCTCACTGCTATCGAGGCGCCAGTTACTGAGAATTTTGAGCATTACATTGTCAAAAGAAACCGAGTCAATAATAAAAATCTATTTGTTAGGATTTATTTAGGCGGAGGGATTCATAATACGGATCAGCAGTAATTGGCATTGTATTAAGAAAAATGCGGAAGCAAAGAAACTTTTTTCCTATTGGTTTATATAATTCGAACGCTAGTAGGATTTTGTCAACAGAAGTTGAAAGGCCACCTGAAACTCATTGGTTAATGAAGGTGGCCTGTTTTACAGGAACCAAAAACCGAACTCACTGGCACTTAGTGACCCTCTAAGTCAGGGTAGAACTGCCCTTGACCCCTGTCCATTCTCCTGAGGAGCAGCTGGTGGTTTTTAACTGCTGACTCTTGCAGTCAGCAAAACCGAAACACCACCATTATTCCACCACGGCTCCTACAGGTCTGTAATACCAAAACTAAACTCAGTGCTCTCAAGTCAATGCATAAAGACCCTTACAGGCTAGGGTAGGACTGGCCCCAGGGTAGAACTGATCCTGTGGGTTTACTCGGCCTAAGGAATGGATGCTAACACAGCGATCCTGTAAGTCAGCATAGAACTGTAACTTTAAGAGACTGTAAGTAAAAAGGCCCAGCCTTCTCTCACGGAGCTGCTGGCTGGTAATTTCAAACTGCCAATCTCGTGCGTTACAGCCTAATGCAAAATCAATATGCCGCTCGGACTTCTACAGGACTATAATAGTTCATTATAAATGTATCATCTCTAACCAGCAAACTGCTCGAAACCAGAAACTACTTTTTGACATAGGTGTAGATTATGAGATTTCCTTAGTTGATCGTGCAAGAGTTAGTGGAAAGTTGGAGGGACAGGGATTTATAAAGGAAATGTTTGCGTGTTCATGAGAAGGAATCATGGGTCTAAGCTGTAATTGGTACAAAGGAGGGTAAAAGAAGTGAACGGGGCATAAGTATTTATCCCACAAGTTAAAGAGTAATTGTACCTTTCTACTGTAAGGGAGCTCTATAGATTGGAAGTTATCAACATCATCAGGAGTTAAAGAATACAGAATTCCTTCAGCCCCACCAGTAGCATCATTAGGAAGTTGCAGACCACACTGGATGACACTGTCAGAGGAGTGACACCCCAGTGAAAGCAGAAAATCTCTGTGCAGTGTCTCAGTAGAAATGTATTTTTTTAATAAAAATATCTCTGTGGTTAGTTACAACAACAAAAACATTTTTCTTTAGCCCAGCTTACATGTATTAATTATACCTAAAAGGCAAAACTATGCTAATTTACCTTTTTTTTTTTTGAGAGAGAGCATTAAGATATGGGCTTTATTTTTCATAGAATTCTTAGGGAAAACCAAAGGCAACATGAAAGTAAAACAACAACAAAATAAACAAAACATGGAAATGAAGCGTCTGACATCACAAAAAGCACAGTTAGCCAGAATAATATAAACCCCCAATTACCAAATTCATATATAACATGTCTATCTCTAAAGACAAAAACCTTATCAGGCATGATAAAAAGTTATATATATATATATATATATGTATATATATAATATAAATCTGAGAAGGCAAAATAAGCACCAGATTGAATTCTTATCTATATGTGTGTTGGCTTTCCCCATTAACTTATTATCCATTCCAAATTTCCTTTTCATTGCCATTACTGAAAATATGGAGCTGGGAACTGTAAGGATTTTTCCCTTTGCACAGGTACTATGTTACATTTTGTCAATGGAGTCAATGGAAAGACCTTATATGGGGAAGGGGACTATTTTCCTAATCCTAGTGTACTCTCATTATTTCTTACTCCTATGATCTGGCTGCCAGCAGTGCATGTGTGGTTTGTTCAGGGTGCTCACCTACATTAAGAATTTCCGATTACATGACAACGGTCCTACCTGAGTGCCCACATTCACACTGAGCTTCCTAGGCACATTAGCCACTTCTTTCCCAGCCACAACGGCCACAGACTCTAAGAGGCTGAGTTCTACTTCCCAGTCAACATCCACTTTCCTGTTTTGTAGCCTTAGCCTATCAGGAACCTAGTTGGATGCTTTCAGATGGATAGTTCCGGTCTAAATTTCCATGACTCACGCTTTTGTCAGAAGATTACGAGCCAAATCAGACTTAATTTACAGAGGCAACTCTCGTCGAGAAAGCAATTCATACTAAAGTCTGAATCAGTTGATATACTATTGCTCTGCCTTAAGTTAGTCTTTAATGTTTCCTTAATACTTAGTTTTTGTTTTATCTAATAATGAAATATTGATATTAAAATCTCCTTACTTAAATAACTGTGTTTTATTTCTCCTGATTAGACTCTGACTGATAATAGAATTAATACCAGAGTGTACTTTCAGGAGACAGTTACACAAAGGAGATTTTAAAAATTGATTTGATCAAACTTTTGGCCTTGAGCACAATGATGGCCTCCTTTCTAGTGAGAAATGGAATGTCAGTAGGGCATCTTATAGCATCTGCCTCAACTAAGCATTTGCACCACACCTCAGCTTTTATTGGTTCAAGCATTGGGAATTTTCAGATTATCTGGAAGTTTTTTAATAAATATGGGAATTATGCTGTTTCCAGCTTTCTATATCCTAAGTGGAAACTCCAAGTGAATTTAATAATTAGTATTTGGGAATAATTGTTTTTACTTTAACTCCCAACTGTGGAGGGCTTTCCTTGTTCACACTATAAATTTATAAAATTTTATTTTATAAATAAAATTTGAACTCTTTTTAAAAAAAATTATTTTATTGAGGGCTCGTACATTTCTTATCACAGTTCATATATACATCTACTGAGTCAGGCACCTATGTACACCCGTTGCCCTCATCAATCTCAAAACATTTGCTCGCCACTTTAGCCCTCAATATCATTTGCTCATTCTCCCCCTCCCTTCCCTCTCCCCTCCCCCCTTCTCCCCCCTCCCCCACTAATTTACCTTTTAAAACCTTCTAATGTGCTCAGGTCCGAGCTGTCATTATTATGCAATTTCATTGATGCTTCTGGTTTCCACTGCATGTGTTAGTAACCAGAGCATGTAATGTTATCATTACTGTTTTTATAGTCACTGAATTTGTCAAATTTTCTGGCATTTTAATACTGTAGTAAATAATATTTGTGAAACTATTAATAACTTCTGTGAGAATGAAATAGTGATTAAAGGAAAAGAGAAAGATCAAAAAAGGCTTTTTTGAAACTGATTGTAGCAATTGCACAAAACTGCTTGATATGACTGAACGATTAAATGGCATGATGTCTGGATTAGGTCCTAATACAATAGTTTGAAAGAAAAAAAAGTAAAAGTTTTCTGCTCAGTTACTATTAATGTAATTAATACTGTAGTTCAATGTAAAAAGATTGAAAGCATAACTTTATCGTTAGTATTCATAAAATCTAAGCAATATTAAGTTTAAGGAGTTTACAACATTACCTTATCATTTTATGATTAGAGTTGATAATAAATGTTACCAAGGATTTCATATGGTCTGGTAGTGGAGGAGGCCCATAGGGGTGATGCCATGAGTTGTCACACTGGGTGACAGAAACTAGTGATGCCCTAGTGCAGTGGTTCTGGAGGTCAAATGATAGAATTTTATACGACCATTGACTTCTTTACAACTAACTTTTTTCAGCAAAGTAAGAGATGCTTATACACATGAATGTCACCAAATGGAATTCACAGGAATCAAATTGACAATATCTATGATAAGAGATGATTGAGAAGTTCAATATCATTAGTTAAACAAGGCCATGATGACTGAGGAACAGACCATCAGTTGCTTATATTGTTCAAGTTGAAGCCGAAAAAAATGAAGACAAGTCCATGAGAGCCAAAATGAGACCTTGAGTATATCTCATCTGATTTTAGAGCCTGAATTTAGATACTTTAAACACTAATGAGTAAAGTAAGCATTGTTATTAACTCATAGCAGATGAGTTGTGGAATGGCATCTAGGGTATCATAAATAGAGAAAGCAAAGGTCATTAAAAAGATGAGAAAGAAAGCAAATATGAATGGGAAATGGAAGAAATCTTGAAATAAAAGAACTGTACAGAAAAATTCAAAGGACAGCTCAAGCAAACACAGTTAAGTATTATTTTGGAATGTGCAAAGATCTAGATTTGAAAAGAAACACATTTATCGTTTCTCAAAATGAAAGAGCTGAAGAAAAATCCAATCCTTGAGTTGCAATGTTGAAAGATGTGTAGGGTAAAATGTTTGACAATGCAAGAAGCATCAAAAGAAAATGGAAAGAATACACAGTTATTGTTACAAAAAATAAATTTTCAATGTCCATATGATTAGGAGCCAATGATTTTGAAGGAAGAAGCCTAAATTTCACTGAAAGTATTAGTGAAAAACAAGACTCAAGGAATTGATGGGATACCAACTGAAATGTTTGAGCAAACTGATGCAGTGCTAGAAACACTCGTCAATTCAAAGAGCTTTGAAAGTTACTTGGCCCACCAACTAGAAGAGACCCATATTTGTGCTCATTCCAAAGAAAGGGACCCAACGGAATGCAGAGATTATTGAACAATATCAATGTTACATGTAAAATTTTGCTAAAGATAATTTAAAAAAATGATTGTAGCAGTTCATCAACAGGGAACTGCCAGAAATTCAAACTAGATTCAGGAGAGGACATGAAATAGGGATATCATTGTTAATGTCAGGTGGATCTTAGCTGAAAGCAGAGAACACCAGAAAGATGTTTACTTAT